CTCGGGAGGCAGAGGCAGGTGGATTTCTGAGTTCAAGGCCAGCGTGGTCTGCAGAGTGAGTTCTAGGACAGCCAGGGCTATACAGAGAAACCCTGTCTAGAGAATTTTAAAAAGAAGAAGAAGAAGAAGAAGAAGAAGAAGAAGAGGAGGAGGAGGAGGAGGAGGAGGAGGAGGAGGAGGAGGAGGAGGAGGAGGAGGAGGAGAATGTCAGGCCAGAGTAATCGCTGCCTTCCCCGTGTCCAACCTCATAGTTGATTCTGGGGTCTTTACTTGCTACACAGAAAGACAGACATGTCACCTAAGGTCTCCTAGTGTGTCTGGATTCTAGGTGAATGAAGCTCCACTCTTGCTTCTCCAGGGCTTGGGCGCCAGAGAACTAAGAGGCATGTCTCCTCCTGCAAGTCAGGGACAGTTCAGCAGACGTCTCTCGCCCTCACCCCCAGCACCGCCTCCGCCCCAATCTCAGAGTCCTGCCCTTCTTCCTATTGACAACCTCTCAGCCTTCTGCCAATGGCGAGTTGGGACAACCTGGCTGCAGGCTCATGTCCTCTGGTCTCCTCTTTGAGACAGGTAAGAAGGGATTCCCATTCAGCCGTGTGTGCCTTAACTCCTGCAGGGCTTCCAACGTTTCCCTCTCTGCCTGTCTGTGTGTCAAAAGGACAGTCCTTTTCAGTGATTTCCTTCCTCCCGGGCAGGAGACCTTTCACTAATATGCTCAATTTTACAAATAATGTTTTGTTTTTAAAAGGACCGCCTGGTACAGCATTGTATCTTCTTTGTTTTCTTGAGACAGGTCCCACTATGTAGCCCAGGTTGACTTTGAACTTGAGAAGATGACTGAAAGCTCATTTTTCACAGGTGATCTAGGGATGACATTTAATGAGGTTAGGTAGTTAATTGTAAATAGGGTTGTAGCGGTTTGAATAGTGAATGAGTCTATGGCCCCCAAAGACTCATTCGTTTGAATGCTTGTCCATAGGGAGTGGCACTATTAGGAGGTGTGACCTTGTTGGAGGAAATGTGTCACTGTAGGGGCATGTTTTGAGGTCTCCTATACTCAAGTTATTTCCGGTGGCACAGTCTCCTTCTGCTGCCTGTAGATGAACTGTCAGCTCCTTCTCCAGCACCTCGTCTGCCTGCATCCTGCCACGACCATATGGACCAAAACTCTGAAGCTGTAAGCCAGCCTCGATTAAATGTTTTCCTTTATTAGGGTTGCCCTGTTCATGGTATGTCTTCATAGCAATGGAAACCCTAACTAAAATAGAGAAATGAACTTTCCAGCCGGGCATGGTGGCACACACCTTTAATCCTAGCACTCAGGAGGTAGAGGCAGGTGGATCTCTTGAGTTCAAGGCCTGCACTACAGAGTGAGTTTCAAGACAGCTAGGGCTACAGAAAGAAATCTTGTCTCAGAAAACCAAAAATAAGTAAGTAAATAAATACATAAATAAATAAAGTGAATTTTCCATGTAAGTTGAAAAAAAATGTTTTTCAGGGTCTCTGGGTTCTAACTCAGAGTGCTGGGATTAAAGGAGTAATGACATCACCACCCATATAGGTTGAAAATGTACAGTTATATTAAATTATGTAATACTCCAATAAAGTCTGAGATGGACTTATCTCTCCTCATGTTCACCCTCATCTTCACCCTCTCTCTCCTCTCCTGGGGATCAAACTGAATTCTTTATGAAGGTAGGGCACCAAGAATTTAGTAATTTCCAAGTTAAGTGAAATTTCTGAAACACCAATAGCTTTAAAAAATTCACAGTGATCAAATATATATTTGCAGCAAACACTGGTGTAGGAGAGAATTTCAACCTTGGCGACTTTTGTCTTCACAAGCTCTGTGTCATTAAGTATCATATATACAGGGCACAAGAAAAAAAATCAAAATCAAACTGAAAAAAATCAAACTGAAGTGTTTGGGGGTGGGTAGAAAAACTAGGAGAAGAACACAAGTTCTTTTAGTGAGAAGTAGACTAATTTTGTCTACCTTGGAAGGTTTAAAAAGTAATATTATGTACAAGATATGAAGGTAAAGAGGGAAATATAAGCAAGGTAGAAAGGAACCATCAAAAAGAAGAGATAGCCCAGAAGAGGATGATAGTTAGAAGGCTGAATTTTGGGTAAAAGAACTTAGAACAATGGATTATTTCTGTATGAGAAAGAATTCTGTGTGGTAGAATGTCCCCCCCCCCTCAGTTGAATAGCTGGATTGCCCCAGAATGGGAAGAAAGAAACAAAGTAAAACTAAAGATGAATCAGGTCGCCAGGGGACCAAGCAGGTGGCCCCCGTTTGTGAAGCATGTTACAAAAACGCCTGTGCTGCATGCACGTTTAGGATACATGTTTTCCCACTGCTAGATATTAGTGCCGGCACTAACGTCACATGTTACCCTTGCGTGAAGCTCTGGGGGAACTGAGACCCCAGTCCTCGAATTGAGAGGTCCAGTTTGATGGTTACAACTGGTCTCAGCTCATTCCCACTGGACCTTCGACTTCTTCCATTGCTTATCGCTAAGGCAGGTGCAAACCTGAATTTGCCACTGTGCCTCATTCTCAACTCTGTACCTACTTCATGACAGGCAAATGCACAGGTTTTAACAAGATCGTGTAAGAACCAGCACTTTGGGATGACAGGGTCTACGGAACAGTGAAAAGAGCCTCAGAGTGGGCTCATGAGAACAGTTCCTTCTAAGCTTCCCCTGTTGACGGGCCTGAGATAAGGGTGCTTGTGAACACTTATCTCCAGTTACCATCCCTTGTTCATAGGACCAGATTGGACTTCAGTGGAAGTACAACATCAAAAGGGGAAAAGGTGACAGCTGTTCAAATAAGAATCGCTTTCGCCGAGTACTAATGACAGAAAAATCCAAAAGGAGTTACAGAGGGGCTAGCACGCACGTGTTCCTGACAAGACTTATCTATCCCAAGACTCTGCCAACACCAGAACCTTGGGCAATGGTCACCACAACCTTACACCAAAAATAACTTCTGCAAGGATGTCTGTTTTAACCTTAGACTGTTGACTCTATCCCTGCCCCTTATAACGCTTTAAGCCAAGTATTAGTCTTAAAATACTGTATGTAATCCTTAGGCTGCTTTTGGTAATCTTTTTGGCTGTACAATCTAATATGGCTCATACACTCTCATTCCAATAGACTGAATCCCCTCTCTTAGGGTTAAGGATGGAAGGCCCTTCTCAGAGCCTTCTCAGAGCCTTTACTGCACATCTTAAGGGATTGGTTTGCCACTATGCTACGTTCTCAGTCCAAAGGGAATCTCCGGAATTTGTGACTTAGACCGACATACCTCTAGCACTTTGCCTCGAAGGACCTGCTTTTATCCATTGGAGATACACACAGACATAAATTTTTGGTGTTCTTATGGAGGTACTTTTGTGATCGAGAGTTCAGTGGATATTCAAACAATGGTAATGTCCCAGTCTTTCATAAAAATAAACCAGGCACTTTGATAACAGCTTTGTTTCATAGACTATATCTTTTCTGTAGTTGTGTGTGTCTGTGTGTGAGAGGGAGGGAGGAAGAGAGGGAGCGGAGGAGGAAGAGAAGGAGGGAGGAAGGGGAGGAGGGAGGGAGGGAAGGAGGAAGGGAAGGAGGGACAGAAGGAAGGAGGGAGAGAGGGAGGGAGGAAGGGAAGGAGGGGGGAGGGAGGGAGGGAAGGGGAGAGAGAGAGAGAGAGAGAGAGAGAGAGAGAGAGAGAGATGCATGTATGCCATGGAGCACGTATGTAGGTCAGAAGACAACCTCAGCTGTTGATGTGACAACCCCAACTGTTGCTGTTTGCCTTCTACCTGTTGTTCACTGCTGTCTATATCACCATCTTACCTAGCCCCTGAGCCTCAGGGCTTCTCCTATCTTTGCCTTCCATGTCCCTAACAGGGAAGCTTGCGTGGGCTGCAAACTCAGGTCCTTAGGCTTGAATGACTACTCACCCACTAAGCTATCTCCTCAGCTTCTGGAATACTCTAATCAACAATTTAGGGGTACATAGAACTCAGTCTTCCCTGTATGTTGACTGTGCCCCCATATAAAATGCCTGCATCAAAACTGCTGAGAAACACATCAAATCAACTCCCCGAGTCCTGCGTGGCGGCTGTGCACACCTTTAATCCCAGCATGTACATGGAACTCTGCAAGTTCAAGGCCAGTCTGGTCTATAAAGTAAGTTCCAGGACAGCCAGGCTGTTACACAGAGAAACTCATCTTGCAAAAACAAACAAAACAAAACACCAAACACTAATCAACTTCCATACTATGGACTTGTGGGCACTCGATCTCACTGGAATATAAGAGGCTATTAACACAACACTGAATTCTCCCAGCCTCTCTAGGAAATGAATATTTTAGGATCTGAGAGGATAAGAATCATGTCCCCAATGTCACAGAGCTCAGCTTCCTTAGATACAGAGGCATCCTTTTTACTGTGCAGTTTCCAGAATCTAGATGAAAACATTTAAACGTTATTTATAAATGTTGAGTCAGTTAAGGATAAGACCTGGAGACAGTCCAGTCCAGTTTATTAGAAAACCCAGACTTGAGGCGGTCACTAAAACACTTTTCACATAACACCTCCTGGGAAAGATTCATACCCTCTCAAACAGAGAAAGCAAAACATCTCAGAAACTGCTCAAGTCCACATTCGGGGTCCAGAGTGGTTCCAGAGTAGGTTGTTAGCAAGCTGAAGCTAGGTCACTTGGCTATGAGACAGGTTACTAGATTCCCCAAGGGGGAAACAGTAGAAATACAGTAACATCACCCTGCTTGGGTGACATCGCAGATACTCCTTAGAGCGGAGTTTGCTGATGGTCAGAGAAGAAATCCAGACCACTGTGCCACTATCCCTGACGAGACACGGACTTCCACCACTTCTGTGCTGTCCTTCCTACCTCCCTTTCTAGACAATCCTATATATTTCGGAATTAAGTCTCTGAGCCGCGGGTCCTCGGGAGCGAGCGCAGGAGGGAAGATCATTACCTTTGCACATAGTGGATCAGAAACATAGCCAGCAGGATACGGTTAGGCAGGTTGCCCAGTTGTACGGCTGCAGGACGGATGCACTCATACAGTGGCCAGGCCAACGAGGGCAGCTCCTGTAGGAACCAGGCAGGTCGCGCCGGCACTCGGTGGCCGGACCACTCTGACGAGTAGCGGCCATAGGCAGAGCCCAGCAACTGGAGCCCCACGAAGGCCACGAAGGCCATGAAACCCTCCAGGTAGACCAGCGCATCCAGCAGGCACAACTCATCCAACTCCATAGCTGAGGTCGAGCAGCGTGCTCCATACCCGGGTGTCCAAGTGGAGCCACATATAAGCCCAGGAGGAGGGCGCAGAGCAGCCCACACGGGCAAGCGCTCAAGCAGTGCGTACCTGCCCAGGGGAGGGGCGAGCCACCTGCTCGGGCGGGGACAGGACCACGGGCTTGCACCACTAGACCGTACCCTTCCGCCCGGAATCCAATGGAGAGCCCGATTGGACAAACCCCGCCCACACAGGGGCTCCGCCCCATTGGGGGAGGGTGTTTTAGTCTAGAGCCCCGCCCCCCAGATTTTGGAGCGCTACACATTGGCCCAGAGCTCCATCGGCTCCCGATGAGTGCAGCCGGAGCTCCGCCCCCTCAGTGCCACAGCAGAGCCCCACTGCCTCGCAACACCCACAAAGTCCCGCCTACACAGCAAAGACCCCCGCCTCTTCTCTTGGAACAGAATCTCGCTCCGCCCAACTCGGCAACCACGCCCCTCCACGATCTGGCCAGGACAGTAACAGTTCTGCCAACACTCCCGTGACACTCTGCGCACGCGCCACGATCTTGTCGTCCATGCAGGTGCCTGAGTCTCCGTGTAAGACGGAAAGATTCACGCTCAGTGGCGTTTGGGGTTGTCGTGAGGAAACGCGTTCTCTATAGGAATACCATCCTTTTCTCGCGTAAGTTTTCGGCGAGAGCATGTTGTATCTTTCAGGCATATTTCTTGACTGCCCCTGCTAGGACCCCGGACGTGAGGGTCCTCGGGATGCAGCTGGAAGTACAGCGTGCTTGCTGTGTGTTGGATCGCTGTCTGCGCTCCGCGTGTGCAGCGGCGTGGGCCATGGGGCGGCGGGCGCGGGGCCGGCGGTGCCAGCAGCCGCCGCAGCCTGAGGGCGAAGAAGGCGGCGGCGACGGCGGCAGGAAGCGCGGCCAGGGGGTAGGCGCGGGGCGAGAGGGGCGCCCCGTGGGCTCGCGCGTGGGGGCCTTGCTTGTGGGCCGGGTTAGCGGGTGTCGGAGCTTACTCACCTGTTGCTTTCCTATCAGGGCTGGGAAGGTGGATATCCCGAGATCATAAAGGAGAACAAGCTCTTCGAGCACTACTATCAGGAACTCAAAATCGTGCCAGAGGGAGAATGGGACCAATTCATGGACTCACTTCGAGAGCCTCTCCCAGCCACGTTGAGAATCACTGGTTACAAAAGGTAAGTTTGGTGTGTCTTTTCTGAGGTGTGGACTTGGGCTTTGGAGAGGAAGCTATACTGCACAGGAGCAGCCTGGTTTGCTTAGGCACTGCGGGTGGGAGAGTAGAATATGAATAGAAAATGCAACCCGGGAAAGATCCTGGGGGCAGGAGATGGGTGAACTCCTGAGTCCATGGGAGCAGCAGGAAACTTTGCCTCTCCCCTCTCGTCAGTGTACATCACCCCCAAGACTTGTTGCAAATAAAAAAATGAAGCTGGGCGGAAATGCAGTATTGGATTTACCTTACTTGTAAGATTTGTCCAACCTGTGGTCCAACACAGCAGTGAACTGGAGGGAATTAGAAAATCGGTTGTGTTGCTTTTTTAGATATTAACTGGGTCACAGAGTTAAAAAGTCAACACATCCAGGGTCGGTTATGGAACATCTTCTCAGAACTGATTTTACATTTAAAATACTTGCAGTCTTAGAGTGATTAAGTCTTACCAACTCACCTTCTTAGATTATTGTGAAACTTTCTTGTTTTTTTTCGTAGCCATGCAAAAGAGATTCTCCATTGCTTGAAGAACAAGTACTTTAAGGAGTTGGAGGACCTGGAGGTAGATGGACAGAAAGTGGAAGTTCCACAACCACTAAGCTGGTGGGTACAAAATGCTTCCTCATGTTGGGTGTTTCTTAGGTCCGCAACCCCCCTGGAATGCATCTCTCTGCTCTTCAGTCACTGTTGACATAGAGAGCCCGGATGTACTTTGCAAGCATCTGTTTGTTTGTTTGTTTGTTTGTTTGTTTTCTGAGACAGGATTTCTGGATGTCCTGGAACTTGTTCTGTAGACGAGGTTAGCCTCAAACTCACATCCACCTGCCTGTGCTGGGTGGAATCAATCCATGTACCAGCAATGTCTGCCTCTTTTCAAGCCTCTCAATGTTCTTCTCTGTAGTGCTTTTATCAACATGAGATTGGGGTATGCATGTTCATAAATGACTTGCAGTTAATTGACTTCATGAGTTCGGTTAATTGGTTTTGGGTCCAGTCTCCTCCTCTTTGATGTTCCTGAGTGGCTTCTCGAACTTCTATTTACAGTCCCTAGTTTTCCACGTAGATATTCTCCCTTCAGGGAGGGAAGACAGGCTTTGTCAGTCTGTCACAGGTCGCTATGGCTGTGTACAGTGTTTCCCAGCACAGTCTGCCTGTAGGCTCAGGTTCAGTCAGTCTTCCACTGTATCCTGCAGCCAGGCGCTCCTCCTATGACAGCCCTTTACTGCCTGTGATCCCTGGTGCTGAAGGCGTAGCGTTCCTTGTTCAGTACCTGGAATGCTTAGCATCAACTCAGATACGCTACACCCCGAGTGAACTTACAGAAGTTTTAAATTATGGTTTCATATTTCAGATTTTGAGGTAGAATTTTCACAAAAGAAAATTATTTTAAGCAGCTGCTATGTAACGGTGAATTTAGTCTGGTAACTGTAGATTTTGATTTTTTTTATGCTTTTTTGTTTTGAGGCAGAGTCTTATTATGTAACTCTGGTTGGTCTGGAAGTTTCTAGGTAGACCAGGCTGGCTTCGAATTCAGAGAGACTGTCCCTTCTTCTGTTGGGATTGAAGGCCTATGCCACCATGTCTGCATTTTGGGTATTTATATATTGATGTCTTCTTGTGTATTTATTTAGGTGACCTTTTGTGCTTTTTGTTTTAAGATTTATTTTTATTTATATGAGTACACTGCAACTGTCTTCAGACACACACCAGAAGAGTGCATTGGATTCCATTATAGATGATTGTGAGCCACCATGTAGTTGCTGGGAACTGAACTCAGGACCTCTGGAAAAGCAGTCAGTGTTCTTAACCACCCAGCCATCTCTCCAGCCCCTTTTGTGCTTTTTTAAATTGTGGACTATAGCTTGCCATTTTTCATTTTTTTAGTATCCTTACCATAGTTAACCACAGCAGGGTCATTTAAATGAGTCCTGGATGTCAGACACGAAAATCAGTGTACAGAAGTTTTCCCAAATACCACACTAGGACTCCATACTGGTGGCATCCATGTAACTGCCTCTAGTGAAGCAGAATGAATATATCAGTTGTTTTTAATTGTTGATAAATCAAAGATCAGTTCATAATGTGTGAGTGGAAGGATGCTGTGTATAACATCCACAGAAAATTTCGTTTTCGAAGTTTAGACAGAAATTAACAGAAGTATCTTAATGCACAACTGTTGAGCGGGGTCTTAAGATGCGAAGAGCTGTTCTCCGTGTCACTCCCAAGTTTCAAATTTGTCATTTTGGTCTGTTTTCTAGTCAGCCTGATTTCATTTTCCCAGTTGTTACCATGGCTACAGAGATACACAGAACCTTTGTGACCTGCATTGTTATAGGAATTCATTGTCCTGTCTCAGGTGTAACAATCAGCACTGACACAGAGATTAATCACTGTCTGACCTGCTTAGTTTGATGCTGGGTTGAGTAGGCTTGGTGAGCAGGGTGCTATGAGTCACACCAAGGCCCTTATTTCTGCCTTTGCATATAAGTGAATGTGTACAGGCCAGGTGTAGATAACACCTGTCCTGATTGCTGACTTCATAAAGAAGGAATGTCCTCAGAGTGACACCAATGGCAGGAGGCTTCATTCTTCAGTCTGCATAGCTGATAACAGACTTTGTCAAAACTGAGTGCATTTGTGGTTTCCAAGAATGGGAGTGGGTTGTAGGGTTGGGTTTTGTACGTAAGCTCTTTTTGTTGCCTTATAGAATTGCTTTGTACAGAAATAGAAAATATACAAAGTCATAATTAGGAATTTGTCCAACATGTGAATGCCTGCTACTCATGCCCTATTGTATGAAAATGGTGAATATCTTTGGTCTTATTTAGGTACCCTGAGGAACTTGCCTGGCACACAAATTTAAGTCGGAAAATCTTGAGAAAGTCCCCATTGCTGGCAAAGTTTCATCAGTTCCTGGTCAGCGAGACTGAGTCTGTAAGTGGGTTCTGTGGTGCACTGAGGCCTGAAAACACTGAGTGCTGTTGATGGCACTGGCACTGTGCTTCTGACCTGTGAGTGGCTGGGGTCAGGAGGCAGTGGCTTTAGTCTCCTATGATTGACTAAGTTCACCTGTCTCTGTTGTCACTTTGTCTTACTGTCTGCTCTTGGTTGATGCCCATGCCTGTAGAATCTGAGTGTAGGTCCAGGCTGTTTCTCATAGTACTTCTGTGTAGACTCTCCTTTTTCTTCTTAGATATGTGTGTTTGACTGTCATACATACCATGTCCAAGATTTTAAGGCCACAGTGGACTCTGGAAGCTGTCTAGTTTACTTGTCATGACACTATTAATGTCACACTTTATCTTACTGTATCTTGCCTATTGTGTTTTCCTATATTGAACCTTGACCAATGCAACCAAATGCATGTAGCCAAGTGTAATTCTCATAGGTGCAGACCTTCTGGGTTGTTTTGAGCAACTTGGACTTTAGAGACAATGGACTGTAGCGTAGAGGTGTCCCAGTACAGCTCCTGTACTTTAATGTGGAGCTGGATAAGTATACACTCTATAGCTTTCTTTTTCTTTCCTTTGGGATCTTTAATTTCACATTTTACTTCAGGGTTTCCCCTCCTTTCAGATCAAGTGAATCGTTTTGTGCCACTAGATACAGTGGGCTTCTTGTTCACCAAGCTTTAAAAGTACTGGGCTTCCCTATTTACTGATGCCATCACCAATTTGAAAGTTGGGTCTGACTCAGTTCCAATTACTGGCTGTTATTTATTGCTATGGCTTTCTGTCCTCATAGGTAAAGGGCATAAGTTTGCTTGACTTTCCCTCTCGGGATAGTAAGAATTGAAAGCTGCCACATCCTTGTCTGTACTCTGCCCTTATCTAGGTTGGTTGTTGAGTAAAAGGCTA